AACAGAACAATACATATTTACTTTTAGATGCTACTACCTACTGGGTGCTATAGTGACCCTGGGTCCTCAAAGGACCCCCCCCCCAAGCTATGTATCTGCTCAGCTGAGAACAGGAAGAGGACTGTGGAAAATGGGCATGAAGTTGAAATGTTTCCCTGGAAAATGTTGGCTCCCCATGCTCTCAGTATGATTGATGTTACTGGGTTTTTTAAAATAAAATTATAGATGATGAATTTAGTTTAATCCAGAGAGGTCAAATGATCAGCTTTGATTGAAGATTCAAATAGTAAATCACATAGAACGAATGTATATCACTGCCACTCATCCACAGCAAGAGATGGAATGAAGAAGGGTAGAAGAGAGTTGGGACTTTGGTACCATCTGACTCTAAATGAAGGGCAACGAGCCCAGAAGGTAGGAACATCCATGGCTCTGTCATCAGGTTGCATAATTTTATTAGCCTTCCAGCAAATTTCATCAACTCGTGTTAGTACATACCACCCCTGCTGGGCCGCAGCCTTGCTTTCCCTAGCCTGTCCTGTGAGAAGTATGTATCAGAACAGTGCTGAGAGTGTGGGGTGGGGAAAGGTGCTGGAACGTGCAGGCGGGGGGATGGAGGGCTCAGTCTCCTGTTATATTTAAGGGAAATGAGATATGCATGTGTGAGAAGGAGAGAAAGTGGGGCGAGAGAATTTTAGAGGAGCTGCCTGTGGCAAATCTTTATACGCACTCACAAATCCTTTTTATACCAACTCAGCTTTGTGTAGAAGCTCTAGGCACTGGCCGGTGGAAGGCAGGTGGAGGTGGAAGTCGTTCCCAATTCCTTTATGGAGCAGAGACTTAAAGTTTTGCCCTTTGTCTCTTTATAAAAAAAAAATACATCAGGAATAAGCATGCAACCAATTAAAGGCCACCATCGGAACCTATAAAAATGTTAAGAGTGACTTCAAAATATTTCCAAACAATACTTTTTTTAATACACAATGGAGAGTTATTAAGGGACTTCTTGGTGAATGGAGTATGGCTTCCGCAATCATCAAAAATTGATATGTACCACTAGTAAAGTAATTATGCGCCGTCCTGAGGATAAGGGAGCCGGCAATTGTTAATCCACTTGCACACCCGTTGACTTGCAGCATCAAGCTGCAAATAGCTTAATTAAGTCATACACGTGGACTATAACCATATTGCCCCATTGCATTATGCACACTATATCTCAATTTATTGGAACAATTAATGCCAGACACCCACCTCAGGCGAAAACATCATCCATCTAACACCAAAGTTCCTTTTGATTGATACTGGCCAAGCCAGAAAGTCACGAACAAGTGAGAATTAAAGAGGAAAAGATGACTTTTTGGGAGCAGGAGTGGGATTTGTCTTGTGCAAATTTTGGAGGCCCAACAGATCTATATGAATGAATAGTTTGATACAAAAGCAGAGGCAAAGCTCGTGCTTTGCACATGCTCAAGGTCATAGCTGGTTGTGTATTTAAGTGGACAGAAACCCCAATATTTTCATTAAAAAGATAAGGTACACAGATCATTTGTTAAAGAAGTCTTCAACTCAATAGATTGGATCTATTAGGACAGGTATTTAAATCAGCTTTACTCCAGTTTACACACATCTGTCTCCTATAGGCAGTTTATTTTTCTGAGTTTAAGCTACAGATAGTTTCAGGCTAAAATCAATTGATTTCTCTCCATTTACAAAAGACAAAGGGACAAACTGTGTCCAGGAATCCCTCTCCCCTATATACTCACTTTTCAGTAAGTGTTGCAAGTGATGCACGCCTAGAAATGTGATCCTTCACAGGTGCAAATGCTTGGCGGGGGTGGAGTAGAGGGAGGAGCTTCTGACACCTAGAAGCCCTGACGGTAGGACTCTACCTTCACTACTGGTGGGGAGGTCCGAATAGACCAACTCTTAAGGTTGAGGCTATTTCCTGTCTTCTCCCTTTGGAGACGCGTGGGGCACCACTTCTAATTTGGATGTCAGGATGCTTTGAGTCAGAAGTGCAAGATGCCCTGCAAGTAGTTGTTAAGGTCAAGATAGGCAAAATGTTAACAGAAAGTCTAGTCCTCAGGACTTCTCAGACATGGTAGGTTAAAAAAATCAACTTTTCTGCACTTCAAACAAGACCAGTGGGAACTCACATGAAACCCAGCAGTCCATTCCCAGCAGAGGACCTCCAAGTTGAGGCAAAAAGACTTCTCTCTTATTTACTACTAAGCACCACCAGTGTGGTCCAACCCATCCTCTACTGAATTTCTAGCTTATTTATACTACAGTGAGGTGGGCAATATGGATTCTGTCTGGATATTTCACAGGTGTGGCTTAGAGCCCCAAGGCGCAGGAGGAGCTGGAAGACAAGATTTCCTCTCAGGGCTCACCACTCACCTCACCCTTGGCAGTCAGTGGCAGAGAACTTTCCTCCCAGGTTTCTCTGCTAAAAATATTTGAGCTGGAGGTTGTGGCTGTAAATCTGGTACACTGCTTGCTTAGTATTTGCAAGGCCTTGTGTTTGATCCTCACTGTCACATTGAAATAAATATTATGTGAGTTGGATGACTCAAAGCATGATCTTCCCAGCTACTTCTCTGTCTTCCTAAGGTCATCTTCTGTGAGACTTCAAAGTCTCCAGCTCAGCTTTGGAGGCTTCTTTCAATATCTAGTCAACCACGTGGGGCCAGAATTGGGATAACATCTGCTTTCCGAGGTTCTAAGGTGCTGGTGACAGTTGCAGTGCAGGGAAAAAAGGTATGCCCCAAGCATGGACAGGATGGTACTGATGCACTCTGGAAGAGCCTCTAGTTTGTGGAGCCAGAATGCTGGTGCTATCTGTAGGGCTCCTGGTCTCCAACATCTAGATATTTTGACTCTTCAGAGAGTAAACGCCTGGTCTTGCCAGTTGGGTGATTTTGTTCCTGGTATTGTTTGAGCAAAGCCTATGCCACTGTTTACAAAAACAGAACAACAGCATACCTGGGCATGTTAGCACTTATCCAGAATCCCAGCACTGTACAAAGCTGGGGCTGGAGGATCACAAATTCAAGGTCAGACTAGGCAGTTTAGCAATGAGACCCTGTGTCAAAGTAAAAAAATATTAATAGGTTGAGGATACAGCTCAGTGGCAAACCTTGGGTTCAATCACAGTACAGGGCAAGGAAGAGAGGTAGGAGGAGAAGGGAGAAAATACTAGGAATCTACCAATATCTTTTGCACATTTTCTAGAGGCAACTCACCCCCAAAGTTCCACTTAAAACTTTTCAAATGGATTCTATTTTTGTTTCTATTTTATAGATGAGGAACCAGAGGATTGAACAGTGACTAAAAGGCATTGCATTCACCTGGAAGTGGCAGAGCTGGACGCGGGAGGGCGGCAGCCTTTGCCAAATGACCCACTGCTTGGTTTTTCTTTTTGTTTTCCCAATACTGCCTGTCCCTGGTGGGAAGGTGGAGGCTCAAAAAATCCAGTTCAGTGACTGCTCTCCTTTATCCTCCACAACCTCCTAGAAGCCAGAAACATCCCTTATGGTATCCCTATCTCTCTCCATCTTTCTGTCCTCCCATCACCTCTTCAAATCTTTTCAATTTAAACTGGGACAAGAGTGGTCTTCTGGGCTCAGGTCTGGGATATAAACAACCTCCCGAATCCTCAGATGGTACAAAGGCCTTTTTTGGAGGCTTTATTAGAGGTGGCCACCTAGTTTCTAGACCCTGTTAAGTCCTGTCCTTGAGAGGGATGAGGGAAGGGTTTCTGGATGACTTTGGACTACTTCCTTCAGGTCTTGATGTAGGGCTCCAGTCTTGTTGCACTTCTAAAGTAAATTTCCCACTCTTCTACCTCACTAGACTTTCAACATTTTCTTGCTTCATCAGCATCTGTCTCTTAGAACATGGCCCAGATGGGATTTACTGATTTAACAACCCCTACCTCAAAGTGGGGAGAGCCACTTTGGCCTTTCCAGTTTTGTCTGTCTGTACTCCCAAGAAAGTTAGGGGCAAAGTGCATATACAATACTAGGAAATTAACCCTTCATTATGCATTTGAAGTTGCATGGGAGGGAGTCTCTTCCATGTCATGATTTTGAGGGGTGACCCAAGCTCTTCTGATTCTTCACAGTTGTGTCAGTTGAGGGAGGATTTGGGAGAATATATTTGTCCTTGTATTCAGAAATTTCACCTGCCTTAGCTATGAGATGCTAACGGTGGAAGGAATTAGAACTGAGAACTTGGTGGCCCTCCATGGACCTGTCTACCACCTTGCTAGTTAGCTTCCCTTTAGACAAGGCACCATCAGAAGTTTAACTCTATTATTAAGGGGAGAATTAAAAGTGACTTCTCCAAATCTCAAGACAGGGGGTTTTAATCAGCAGCTTTTTGGGTGTGGAGTGGGGTTGAGAGCAAACATTAGGTAGAAAATGAGCGGGGAAATGAATTGCAAAAAGATACATGCCAGATTAAATAAACTAAGAGGCTCAGCCTAGGAGTTCTGGACCTGGATTTTGAAACGGAGGGATCCCTCTACCTTTGGCCATCTGGCTGTTTTAAGCTCTGCCCCATGCTGTATGATTTTAGCTGAAAATCTCTTCCGTTGCAGCTTTGCTTTTATTGAATTCATCAAAAGCAAACTTTCCCTGAGTTTTTTTTTTTTTTTTTTAAGAAGGCTAAAATAATACGCCGACCACTGTGACATTCTCCGTGCCCAGGCCATTTTTCATAACGCCGCGGATCCGCTTTTGTGTCTCTGAGGCGACTAAACAGATGAATAAAGAGCAAAGTCTCCCGAAAGTAAGCTAGCAGCTTTTCTCAGCTCTAAAAAAGTTAACTGAAATGAGAGGTGCATGTAAAACCCCCACACTCAAAGATGGGGGTCACACTTTTATTACTCTGAAGGACAACGGTGTCTTTTAAAAAGCAACTAATTCTCCACACCCGCGCGCACACACTCACACACACACTAGCATACTTGCTCACACAAACCCCACAAACTTTAAGCCTGTGAAGCTGCCCAGGTGGTGCCTGAAGAATTTGGGTAAAGAAAGAAAGAAAGAAGAAGTACTTGAGACAGATGCTAGCTGGCAAGTTATAAGAAGGGCAGAAACTGGTTTTGCTTTATTTTTGTTTTAGTAATTTTTTTATGTTTTTTTTTTTTTCGTCTTTTCCCCCCTCCCCCTGTAACCGAAGCTAGTTTGATCGTTGGTTTCTGGCAAGAGGAAAGAAAGGCTGCAGCAGTAGAGCAAGAATCAAAGTGTTAAAAGGATGCTCAAAATGTAGTGTTGTGGCGGGTCGGGGTAAGTTACATTTTCTTTTGTTTTCTCTTTGGTTTGGAATGCAGCGAAAATGCACTTTGCACTGTCCTGTTGTTTTAGGAATTAGAAACTAACTTTCAGCTCTTTTCTATACCTGTGAATCGTCTCTTCGCTCTCATTTTGTGGTGATTTAAAGGGAGACTGTCTCCTCTGGTGCTGTCATCATAGTCTCAGAGGCCCACGAGCCCGGAATGGTCAGGGCTTGGAGATCCGGGCTCTGGGTACCCGGTACGAGGCAACAAGTCCTGGATTCTCCCGCCCCAGGCGAGCGCCGCGCAGGGCTGCAGGAGAGCCTGTGATTCGCCTGATCCCCAGGAATGAATTTTGCACTTGTAATTATTTGTATGTGGACACTCACAGCTGCTACGCTGGGCTTTATCAGGGGAAAACTCTCTTCCTTTAAATATGGACGATTTGGAAAAACTCAGCCATTGGTCCTTGCCAAATGATTATTGGTGCAAAGGAAACCTTATGGGTTGAAGCGTGTGCTCATGTGTTTAACCCCTACACTATTACACATCCGAGTTGCACAAGTTGACAACTGCTTGAAACCATTTGTATTTTTTTCGGAGGCTGGGAAAATAACTGGGCGTGATCTGTGAGAGATGGTGTAGATGCACTAGTGTGGAAGGCATATTTCACCGAGAAGTGATGCCTCCTGTTCGTTATGTGTAGGAAAATGGCCCCAAAGAAACTTGAAATTGAGGCTCCCAGTGCGTGCGCACACTTTCGCAGACTTGCGTTACACATACTTAGTCTTACGCACTTTTTCGCCACTGATGCACCGTTTTGTGATTCAGTTCTGCGGTTTGAATAATATCCGAGGTCTGCTGTGTGTTTTATGTCGTGCATGTTCAGTGCCAAAGGGTCCTTCGTTTAAGTAAACAGCGACTTGCAAACGTTTGCTGCAAACCAGATTTTATTTATTATTACCCGGGAACGCGGAGAAACGCTGCGCCAGAGGCGCCTGGGCGGAGCCGATTCAGGTATTCGCAAACACATGTTTTTGTCAGTTGCATTCCCGAGGAAGTCCGGAAAATCATCTAGGGAGCAGCAGAGTACTGACCAGGGACTGATCGCAGGCAAGCTTGTTGGTTAGCAGGAGCGACTCCCGAGCCTGGCTCTGAACGGCTGGCATATAAAATGCAACTTTTGCCCCATTGGTTCGCTAGGTAAATTAGCACATACTGGGACTGAACAGTCCTTGACCTTTGCCTTTATGTTTGCGCAAATGTTTGCCTAAAACACAATCGGCCTTGACAAGGGAGCACGATACCGTGTGACACTGCCTATTCACCAGATAGATGTTCCCTGCCACACACGACCTAGAGCGGCCTTTTAAATAGCTTAGGTATTTGTAAAAACCGTATAAATTAATGTCGGATGATTGCTAGTTGCTGGTTAAACAGAAGATCATTTCTATGTGAGATGAGCATCTCCTTCTGGCCCTCTCTTCTCTCTTTAAACTTCGGTGGAATCATCAGAAACAAACTGATAGTGTGGAAAAGTTTGTATTTGGGGTCGCCAACAGATTTTTGTTTGATCAAAAGGGCACATTTGACTAGCTCTTCAGGAGGGACTTCTCCACGAAGATGAGGAATGGATACAGAAAGAAAGAATGTAGAAAACTTAGGGAACTACTGCTTAGCATTAACTGGTACTAAGAAGGTTTGGGATATGAACCTGAATTTCTTCGAAGGTTTGTTGCTCTTGCAGAAACCAGGGACAGTCAAGAGGCTCCCAGATTCCTGGAGATCCTTCCAGATTTGAGAGTGCATCTGATTCCTAAGCTTTACCCTTGTGAACACTTCCTCCAATAGAACCAAATTCTTTAGCAGCAGGAGAAAAACACATTGTAAAAAAGCTAAAATTTGTTTAAACCCTCTTTATAAACCTCTCAGGGCAAGTCTGAAATGATTCAGAGGACTAAGCTGCCTTTTTTCCCCTGAACTTCAACCCCAAAACTTTCTTCAACTATGATTTCTAGCTAGGTTCAGAATTTTCCACATTCTTGTCATTGCTAGCAATGCAAGAAAACCTCACCAATTTCCAAGGCATATTTCCTGGGGTATAAAGGACTATCCAGACAGGAAGAACAAATTAAGAAAAACAAGGGCAGTTTGGATAGTCATTCAGAGGTTGTCATTTTTTTTTTTCTGAAGAGGGGAGGATTTACTTCATCCATTCTAAAGAGATTCAGTTGGCCAAGGTAACAACAACGCAAGCTACAGCCTGCAAATGCAGACTGAAAGTCTGAGAGTCACTGCTGCTGTGATTTCTCTAAACCTTTGCAAGGTTCCTTTAAGTTTTCCCTTAACTGTCTGCAGGTGAGGAACGAGCTGGTCACCAGCTCTCCTACAGAAGATTTTTCTTGATCTCTGGGCAGAATTTGCCTTCTTTCCATTGAGCTATGATTTAGGGTAAAGGGGAGTTTGCTTAACAGAAGCCATATACCAGATCAAATTTCACAGAAAAGTAGTAGAAAGATAAACAGGACAACTCCAGAATGTCATATATGGCAGTCATACAGCTACATCAGAGAATTATCATATGAGAAGGCTTCAAGAATAAGCCTAAGTGTTGTAGAAGAAAATTGAGATAATGTCTACATTTTCAATGATCCCTTTATAATTTATCTTTTCATATTCCTAGGTGATTTTTTTAAAAACTTCAAACACATAAAATTTTATCATTTACTTTTATTATTCAGTTAAGAATGTAACAGGTTTGAACAACTTCAAACTAGTTGTTTTAGCTTTCTGGAAAACAGCATGAATGGGACATATGTATATTGGTTTTAGGTTTAGAAATACAGGCAAATAAGTATGCTTTGAAATTGTCTTTGAGTTTTTAGAGGTAACTTATCCATTATTTTTAGGGCATGATCATCTTACCTATTTCTTGAATATTGCTTTATTTAAAGCAAAAATAATTGAGGTGATCTCTCTCTGAAGTCCTACCTTTTTAGAGAATTTTGGGAGTTAAATGCATCAAAATGCACATTTAGGGTGCTGTTTTCTGACATAATCTGCAGTGACGTGGAGAGAGTCAGGCAACAATACTTTTTAGATTTTGCTTTACTATGTCTGTGTTTGTGGTAGATAAAGTTGTTCAAGTTTACAGGTGATTTGGGAGCTATAATCCACAATCTATGCTGATGAACACAGGAATTAAGGTATAATAATTACAAAATCAGCCCAGGAGTTTAAGAAATTTCCAAATTTGTTTAATTTGAGATATATATTAAAAACATATCGACTTACATAAAAATGTACATATTATGTAAGACATTTCACTTGTATCTTAGCTATCAATAATTCAAGTACTTATTCCATTCATTCACTTAATTATTCAATTATCCTGACTCAAATTGAAGATGAGAGTTGGTCAACTCCATGTATTGCTGACAGATATCTAAGTGTCTTGATTATTTCTGACCAAAGCTAAAATACAATTAAGTATTTATATTAACAAATCTCTAGGTAGTTTTATCTATAAATGTTCAAAGGGACAGTAGTAATTTATTGTTATAAATGAAGACAGAGTATAATTGCCAAAACAGATCTCTTCAAATGAGTAACAAATTAATGGGAAATAAAGAAGGAAAAAAATCTAATATTTCTGAAAATAATTATTTATAGTGATATTATTTTTCTTAAGAGTAAAAAAAAGTATAAAATTTAAGTTTGTATTTGAAAAAGTAAAGTAATTTATTTTTATTAGACACAAATATTTGGTGGCTTTCTGCAAAAAATATATTTGCACATGAAATACAAGATTTTAAAGGTTAAAAGTTTGCATTTACAGGACACGGAAACTGTAAGGACTTTCAGATGTTTGTAGTTGACTCTGTACCCCTCAGTATAATTTTTACTGACTTGACTACAAAATGACACCTGCCAAGGTCTGCAAAGTTCTTTATATTTTACCATGCAGTGAAACTGAAGTGCAAACATAAAATCAGGTGAAGGGCTTGGAAGTTCTGTGGAGAATGCCCTACACCTTCTCATTCTGTGTCCCCAAAGCCACTTTCCCCAATTTATGTACATGTGGTTTGCACGTTGCTCTAATAATTGCGCTTAGCTACCATTGAATTCCATTTTGCACTGTACGTGAAAATTCAGAGATGGTTTACAGGCATGAAAACGCAACCATTCATTCCTGAACTAGCCTCGAGACATTCCACACTCCAGGTGCTGTATTTGAGAGTGAGGCTGTGCTGGAGTTGGGGTTCAGAGAGCAACCACTCCCATGTGGGTGGCTGGGACAGGCTTTCGTGATGCAGAGAGAGTTCTTCTCACATCTGTTTTGATTCCCTATCTTCTGATCAAATTAATTGTGTCGGATTTCCAGTACCTACTGCATCACCCATCCGGGTCTCATTACCTATTCCTAGCAGAGAACGGGGAGGCTGGGGGGTTATTGGCAAGCGATTTGATTCCTAGACACTGTATTGAATTCTTTGCAAAGCTTAGGCTAGGAGGTGAGATATATGATCTCAATGCATAACACGGTCTCTAAGAGCAGTTTGGGCAGTTTTGGAAAGTCCTGGGCTTTGACTGGTCTGGGTCCCCGATTTTAACCCTTGAATAAAATTCCTAATTTCAAACTAGAGAGACAGAGCAGGGCAGACTTCAGATGGGCGGTGGGGTGGGGTGGGGAGGAGTGGGGCGTGCTGGGCCGGGGGCTCTTCAGAGATGAGGGAGCCACTTTTCACCTGATATTTTAGGAGCCCCTTAATTTGCCAGTGGATCCTAGCGAGCGCTTGCTAATCAGTCACAAACGGAAGTCGATCCCCACAGCGAGCTGGAGTTTGGCAGGTACCGAAAGTGCTAGGAAGGTTGGGGGTACGATCTCTGATTTACTGAACTTGAAAGCAGGCTGATGGGAAAGCAAGCGGCCCCAAATTGGGTTCTCTTGGCTGTTGACTCTGGCTCAGTAAGCTCAGACCCCTATTTCATTTGCCCTCCCCACTTCTGGGG